TGATATCACAACTATAGTACAATAACAGCAGACTGAGTAAATAGGACAGTAGGCTGCAGACCCCCTCATGTACCAATGATCTTTATAGACTTGAAACCTCACTATGCATGGAGTTGATAAAGGCGCCAAATGAACTAGACAGAGGAAGAAGACTCGAGTCGAGAAAATGTCTGTATCTCAACTAAGAAATGTTTCTGTGACCACAGAGAGGAGGAAACAGGAGGATGTGGTAAACTGTGGCAGAAGTTAAGGCTAAAAAAAGAAAAAAGAGAGAACCAATGAATTTAAAGATACTTAAGAGACATAACAACAAAAATCAGTAAGTGCATCTCTTTGGATCATAATATAAACACATCCATTTTTAGAAATAAGTTATTGTAATTATGAAGTTCATGAAGTTATGTCAAAGCCACATTTTAAAATGTTTACTGATGAAGTATGTCTGAAATGTTCTTCAAAATATCCAGCATGTATTGAGGGTAGGAACTCGATGAGGGTATAAATGATGCAAGATTAGCTATGAGTTGATGATTGTTGAAGGCAATTCACAAGTGAACCATATGATGGTTCATTGTACTATTTACTTGTGTCATACTTGAAGTCTCAATAATATTTTTTTTCAAAATAAAGATGCTGAAAGCCAAGATAAAAGAAATTCTTAAATAAATTAAGACGTGGCAGCCCTTTTTCACAAAAGAATTCATTGGCAAAGCCTAACGGCTAGCCTAAGTCATAATAATGTTTGGGAGAAGCAGCAAAACAGCAGACTAGGCAGAATTTTTTTTTTTTGAGAGAGAGTCTCACTCTGTTGCCAGGTTGAAGTGCAGTGGCACGATCTCAATTCACTGCAACCTCCAACTCCCAGGTTCAAGCAATTCTCCTGCCTCAGTCTCCTGAGTAGCTGGGACTACAGGCACCTGCCACCATGCCCAGCTAATTTTTGTGTTTTTAGTAGAGATGGGGTGTCACCATCTTGGCCAGGCTGGTCTCAAACTCCTGACCTCAAGTAATCCACCCGCCTCGGCCTCCCAAAGTGCTGGGATTACAGGCGAGAGCCACCATGCCTGGCCTAGCCAGAAACTTAAAAGGGAAATCAAAGGAACAAGAGAGCCAAAGAATGCCTTGGTAAAATACCATTTAACGTTGGTAGTTTTGAAGGCTGTGTGCATGCACAGGGCTATAACAGAGAAGAGACCAGAGAAGGCTATAGGAAGCTCCTCATCCCTGCAACTAAATATGAGGTCTCAGAAATAAAGAGAAAGCCATGGCTCACTTGTAAACTCTCTGAACTTTGAAAGCACCTTCCAAACCACACACAGCTCCAACAGCAAGGGTAGAAACCTTATTGGCTTAAGGCATTTAAGCACAACCTCTCACAGTTCACTGGTTGACCATTAAGCTATGCTGATCCAAGGGAAACCCCTAAGAATTCAGGTTTAAATAAAAAAAAAAGAATTTAAAAAGGAACTTGTGCAGAAATACTCGAAGCCTCATACTGCAAGGGAAAGGGACTCCACAGAATTAGTACAGGTAAGTCACTACACAAACAAAACAACAACCTCCTTCACCCGCAATAGAAAGAAATGGGAATCCAGAGCTGCTAGCATATATTGTCCAAAATTTTCTGTTTCCCAAAAAAGTTACAAAAGGGCAAAGAAATAGAAAAATGCAATCCATTTACAGGGAGAAATAGTCAATAGAAATTGTTGGCCGGGCACAGTGGCTCACGCCTGTAATCCCTGCACTTTGGGAGGCTGAGGTGGGTGGATCACTTGAGGTCAGGAATTCGAGACCAGCCTGGCCAATATGGTGAAACCTGTCTCTAATAAAAATATAACAATTAGCACAATAATCTTAATAGCTAACTTCTCATTAGTAACAAGGAATGTTAGAAGGCAGTAACATGGGCCAGGCACTGTGGCTCATGCCTGTAATTCCAGCACTTTAGGAGGCTGAGACAGGTGGATCATGAGGCTAAGAGTTCAAGACCAGCCTGGCCGACACGGTGAAACCCCATCTCTACTAACAATACAAAAATGAGCCAAGCCTGGTGGTATGTGCCTGTAATCCCAGCTACTCAGGAGGCTGAATCAGGAGAACTGCTTGAACCCGGGAGGCAGAGGTTGCAATGAGCAGAGATTGTGCCACTGTACTCCAGCCTGGGCAACAGAGCCAGACTCCATCTTGGGGAAAAAAAAAGAAGGCAGTAACATATGCAAATTTTGGGGGTAGTAGGGAGAAGCTGGCAACGAAGAATTCTATACCAAGCAAAATTATCCTTCAAAACTCAAGACAGGTGCCTAGGCACAGTGGCTCACACCTATAATCCCAACACCTTGGGAGGCTGAGGTGGGAGGATTGCTTGAGCCAAGGAGTTCAACACCAGCCTGGGCAACAAAGTAAGACCCTGTCTCTACAAAAAAAAAAAAAGCCATGTGTGGTAGTGCACACCTTAGTCCTAGCTACTCAGAAGGCTGAGGCAGGAGGATCTCTTAGCCCCAAGAGATCAAGGTTGCAATGAGACATGATCATGCCACTGCACTTAGACCTGGGCAACAGAGCAAGACCCTGTCTCCAAAAACGAAATTATTTAAAATTAATAAAAAAAAAAGAAGGCAAAATGAACACATTCTTAGATAAACAAAGACTGAAAGGATTTATTTCTTGCAGACATCTCTTACAAGAAATACTAAAGTAATTTTTAAAGTTATTCAGACTGAGAAGAAATGACACCAGATAATTCCAATCCAATGAAAAAACAATTATTATCTGTCAATTAAACATAAAATTTATAGCTGAGCAAAGTGGTGCACACCCGTAATCTCAGCTACTTGGGAGGCTGAGGCACAAGAATCACTTGAACCCAAGAGGTGGAGTCAGCTACCTGCAGTCATACCACTGCAGTCCAGCCTCGGCAACAGAGCAAGACTCCATCTCAAAAACATTAAATGAAAAAAAATAAAATGTGTAAAAAAACAAAGAGACCCAGAAGAAATAATATGTAGGTAATTATTTTTTAAAAACCAAAAACCACAAATATCTTCTTTTTCTTTTTCTTTTTTGAGAGACAAGCTCTCACTCTCTCACACAGGCTAGAGTGCAGTGGTGTGACCATAGCTCACTGCAGCCTCAAGTCCCGGACTCAAGTGATCCTCTCACCTCAGCCTCCCGAGTAGCTGAGATTACAGATGCACACCACCATGCCTGGCTCCTTTTCATTTCTTAACTGTTTTAAAAGAAATTACATAAAACAATAACTATAAAATTACAGCATTGGACGTGTAACATCTAAAGATGATGAGTCTGTATATATGCACTCACACCGACAGAGGATAGGGAAAAGATGGAGTTACACTGAAACAAAGGAATCACATCGATAGTAAGTCCAATCCACAAGAACAAATCTAGAATATCAGAAACACTAAATAAGTTTAGTATGAAAAAAATTTATTAAGCATATTTTACTCATTTCTTCTCTTAATTTTTTAGAAGACATAGAATTTGACTGGGCACAGTGGCTGACACCTGTATTCCCAGCACTTTAGGAGGCCAAGGTGGGTTCAAGTGTTCCAGACCAGCCTGGGCAACAGGGGAAAACTCCATCTCTACTAAAAATACAAAATTAGCTGGACATGGTGGTGCGTACCTGTAATCCCAGCTACTCAGGAGGCTGAGGTGGGAGGATCTCCTGAGCCTAGAAGGCAGAGGTTTCGGTGAGCCAAGATCGTGCCACTGCGCTCCAGTCTGGAGCACTCCCTACACCCACTCAGGTTCAGTCTGAACTGAACTGGAGATACCTGTGAAAGGAAAATAAATCTTGGGGCCCCAAAATCACTAAGCTCAAAACCACTAAGGGAAAAGTCAAGCTGGGAACTGCTTAGGCAAACCTACCTCTCATTATATTCAGTCACCCCTCTGCTCACTGAGATAAATACCCACCTGACTGCTGCCTTTGGAGAGGCTAATCAGAAACTCAAAAGAACGTAACCATTTGTCTCTTATCGAACTATGAACTGGAAGCTCCCCAATTTGTTGTTCTGCCTTTGCTTTGAGTTGTCCCACCTTTCCAGACTGAACCAATGTTCATCTTACATATGTTTATTTATGTCTCCTGTCTCCCTAAAATGTATAAAACCAAGCTGTACTCTGACCACTGAGGCTGTGTCACCGGCCCATGTCCTCAAACTTGGCAACATAAACTTTCTAAATTAGCTGAGAGCTGTCTCAGATATTCAGGGTTCACACTCCCCTGGGCTCCCTGACTTTCTTCAGGGCACTGGCCCCTTTCTTGTCTGTCTTTGGACACCCTCCAGGGAAGTCTTTGAAATTCTTGAGGCAGGAAGGACCATTTCCCAGCCCCGAATCTTGCATAAAGTGGGTCTCTTATAAATGGAAATAGGGCTTCTCCTCAAAGGCAGGCTGGGAATTTTGCATGTATGACCCTAGCGGTTCTTCATAGAGGGTTGTTTCACTTGCCTTTCCTTCTGCTTTTTTCTTCACTTGCTTCCCCACAGAGCAGGACGAAAGGAGCCAGCAAGGATGGCTCTGGTGTTGGGGTCTGCCTTCAGCCACCCAGGTGGAATTGCAAAGAGGAGGACAGGGATGGAAAGAGGAAAGTTTGATTTGATTTGCCTTTTTTTCTTTCTTTCTTTCTTTCTTTCTTTTTTTTTTTTTTTTTGAGATGGAGTCTCGCTCTGTCACCAGTTTATCACCAGTCTAAAGTGCAGTGGGGCAATTTCAGCTCACAGCAACCTCCACCTCCCAGATTCAAGTGATTCTCCTGCCTCAGCCTCCCGAGTAGCTGGGACTACAGGCGCGAGCCACCAACCACCTCCAGCTTATTTTTGTATGCTGATTTTTGTATTTTCAGTAGAGACGGGGTTTCACCAGGTTGGCCAGGACGGTGTCGATCTCTCGACCTTGTGATCCGCCCACCTCGGCCTCCCAAAGTGCTGGGATTACAGGCGTGAGCCACTGCGCCCCGCCTTGCTTGTCTTTCTTCTGGCACCACTTCCTCATACCAACCTCATCATCCTCCCCCATCCCTACCGACCCACTGCGGGCGTCTGAGCCCAGTCCCCTTGATCCCTAAAATCTGGGAGAGGCTCTTTCCCCTAGGGGCCCTGCCTTCGCAGACTTGCCCGAGGTGGGGGCGGGGTGGAATTCTGAGTGGCTCAGTGGCCCCCGCCGCACTTGCTCACTGGAGAGCCCCTATTTTAAGGATGCTACTGCAGTTGGAGAAGGAACCCCACTTTTAGGAATCCTCTTCCGTGCAAAAGGCTGTCTGAGATCAGGCGCAAAAAACCTCCCGCTCAGGTTACCCTACGGGCTCGTTACCCCGGACTCCGCCCCCGATTGCAAAACAACTGAGGGGTGGATCCTTATTTTCCCTTCTACTCGCTTGTTCTCGAGGTAAACAGAACCACCGAGTTCCTCTCAGCGGACAACTGTAGCTGACCTTCCGGTGAAAACGAGGATGTGGGAGCGGCGGGGAGCGCGTGAGGATCAGGGCGACCGCTAAGGCGTAGAATAACCAGGTCAGAAGCAAACGTGAATGCTCAAATTCCATAATTATCAAATGTACTCAGATTTAAATTTTACTTTCCACCCTCCCCCCTCCCCAGACGGAATCTCACTCTGCAGCCCAGGCTGGAGTGCAGTGGCGAGATTTCGGCTCATGCAACCTCGGCCTCCCGAGTTCAAGTGATTCTCCTCCCTCAGATGAGATTACAGGCTAGTGCCACCACGCCCGGCTAATTTTTGTATTTTTAGTAGAGACGGGGTTTCACCGTATTGACCAGGCTGGTCTCGAAATCCTGACATGGTAATCCGCCCTCCTCGACCTACCAAAGAGCAAAGATTACAGGCGTGACCACCGCCTAAATTTTTTACTTGTGTAGAAAAAATGTAATCTGTTGAGAACATTTAATGAGAAATGGATCTTTATCGGGTCTGCGTCTCTGTCCCTGCTTCCTGAATAGGGACTACGCCTCTTTTATATCACAGGAGGCACCTTCTTCCTGCTGGCTGTGACAGCTGCGCACAAACTGGCTAGTGAATTTCCTGCACAGCCCTCCTTGGCTTCGCCCACAGCATGCTTATTGCCGCGCCCACATATGTGGCCTAACCGGCTTCAGTTTCCTGGTTCTGAGTTTCAGTCTTACTCAAGCATAAATTTCTCTTTTTTTGAGACAGTCTCGCTCTGTCACCCAGGCTGGAGTACAGTGGTGCAGTCTTGACTTGCTGCAGCCTCCACCTCCTGGGTTCAAGTGAGTCTCCTGCCTTATCCTCCTGAGTGTGGAACTTCTCTTTTTATTTATTTATTTATTTGAGACGCAGTCTCGCTCCTGTCACCCAAGCTGAAATGCAATGGCACGATCTCACCTTACTGCAACCTCCGTGTCACAGGTTTAAGCACCGCCACATCCAACTAATTTTTTGTATTTTTCGTAGAAATAGGGTTTCACCATGTTGGTTAGGCTGGTCTCAAACTCCTGACCTCAAGCAGTCCACCCACCTTGCCCTCCCAAAGTGCTGGGATTACAGGGGTGAGCCACCGCACCCTTTACTTGGAGGTTTTCTTTTTTTCTTCTTTTTTTTTTTTTTTTTTTGAGACAGAGTCTCACTCTGTTGCCAGGCGCTGGGCTGGAGTGCAGTGGCTGGATCTCGGTTTACTGCAACCTCTGCCTACTGGGTTCTCCTGCCTCAGCCTCCCGAGCAGCTGGGACTACAGGCACACGCCACCACGTCCAGCTAATTTTTGTATTTTTAGTAGAGACGGGGTTTCACCATGTTGGCCAGGATGGTCTTCATCTCTTGACCTCGTGATCCACCCTCCTCAGCCTCCCAAAGTGCTGGGATTACAGGCGTGAGCCACCACACCCAGCCTTCTTTTCTTTATTTTTTACTTTATTTTTTGAGACAATGTCTGCTCTGTTGCTAAGGCTGGAGTGCAGTGGCGTGATCTCAGCTCACTACAATCTGCCAGCCTCAAGCAATCCTCCCATTTCAGCCTCCCAAGTAGTTGGAACTACAGGCGCGCCACGCCCCACTAATTTTTGTATTCGTTGTAGAGACGGGGTATCACCATGTTGCCCAGGCTCATCTCCGTCTCCTGGACTCAAGCGATCCTCTCCCCCCTAGGCCTCCCAGAGTGCTGGAATTTCAGGCATGAGCCACCACGCCTGCCTAATTAGAAGTTTTAGAGTGCGATGGAGATCACTTGGATAGAGGTTACTGTGGCCTTAATTAAATGAGACAATAGGTTTCATAAAACTTGGAAATTGTAAAGGATGGGGAATCACTCCAATTCAGAACATCAAAACAACCTTATTTTGTGTATGTTACCTGTCTTTTTCCCTACATATGTAATGTTTGTTTATTTGACATGATTACCATTTCCGTTTCCATAATATCTTTAATACTTTTCCTCCACTTAACAAACATGGCTACAGCTTGCCAAGTTGCAACCTTCACCTCCTGGATTCAAGAGAGTCTCCCACCTCAGCCTCCTGAGTAGCTGGGATTACAGGCACCTGCCACCACGCCCAGCTAATTTTTGTATTTTTAGGAGAGAAAGGGTTTCTCCATGTTGGCCAGGCTGGTCTCGAACTCCTGACCTCAGGCGATCCACCCGCCTTGGCTTCCCAAAGTGCTGGGATTATAGGATTATAGGCTCGAGCCCTGCCCAGATCAACCTTTTAAGTGTTCCTTGCTTTTTCTTTTCTTTTCTTTTTTTTTTTTTTTTTTTTTTTTTGAGACGGAGTTTCGCTCTTGTTACCCAGACTGGAGTGCAATGGCGTAATCTCGGCTCACCGCAACCTCCACCTTCTGGGTTCAAGCAACTCTCCTGCCTCAGCCTCCCGAGTAGCTGGGACTACAGGCATGCACCACCATGCCCAGCTAATTTTTGTATTTTTAGTAGAGAAGGGGTTTCACCATGTTGACCAGGATGGTCTCGATCTCTTGACCTCGTGATCCACCCGCCTCGGGCTCCCAAAGTGCTGGGATTATAGGCGTGAGCCACCGCGCCCGGCCCCTTGCTTTTTCATGTATAGATTTGACATTATCGGCTTTGGGGTAAGGAAGAAACCACCACGACTCTGAGGGTCGGAGACTCGCCCAGTCATAAGCTCAACAAGAGAATGGGTCTGTCTGGGCTAGCCTTGGGCTGTTGGATGAGTAGGGTTGGCCTTTTCATTTCTCTGGAGGGATTTTTCATTTTCTCTGGAAACCAACTCCAAATTCCTTCTTCCGGAAGGCGTTTTGGAACGCTTGACTGCCTGCATGCGACCTCGGGTTGCCTCCCTGGTTTCCTCGCCGCTTCCTGCTCAGCTACCAGTTTCTGTTCTCAAAGGACCCTCTCATACAGCATGTGCAGAAAGGAGAAGTGAGTCAGGCTGTCCCGCACTGTGTCCTGACTCCTGTGTGCTCCCGCAGTGGGGCCAGGGGCCTGGGGAGAGTTGCAGGAGAAACCCCGCGGTAGAGAAAGACTCCAACCTGGGAACCTCGGGTAGCGTCCAGTGACTTTCCAAAATCTTGGTCGGGGTGGTCACAGGCCCCTGCTCGCCATGCTGGTCTCTGGCAAAGAAAAGCGGGTGGGGCATCCAAGATGCTCATGGACCTCCTCTGAATTTTGCACCCCTGTGTGTTAAAAACAGGTATTTCTGGTCTTTAAAGACACTTAGAAAAGACAGACTTGCTGAATACTTAGAAAGGCCAAGCCACAGCCAAAAGCTTGGTATCTGGGATCCATTATCTCCAAGGTTTAAAAGTATCTTCCCTACTTTTTAAACTGTATGTTTGCTTTGTAGCAATATATTACATACGTTATAAAGTGTTTTCAAAGAGTAATTTTAAAAGGTATGATACAGATAAATGATTTAAATTTAAATGACAGTTTCAATTCAAAATACAAAGACTATTTTGCCCTTATAACATTATCAATTATAATACTTTCAAGTGAGAGCAATATGACTAGTTATGAAAAATTATTTTTGAAAATGATGCTTTAACAATTCATAATGCAGACATTTGGTGGTCTGGTTCTAAGGTGAGTTGGTGTTGCTGCTTGGTCTTAAAGACGGTTAGAGCTGATAGAAATAACTTGCACACACATCATACATTCATACATAACTGAGTCATTGATGTACTCATTAAAATGTGATGCATCCAGGAAAATCCCATCTCTAAATTATATAAAACTTTTTGTTTTCCTTCAGCTACTATATTTCTGTTCTCCCTTATGCAACATTGTCCCGTCTGCCAGCATGGTTGAGCAGCAGCTGTTGTCAAACTGCAGAGTACAAAGTGCACCGTAAAAGACAGATGGCAGATCCGCCTTCCTTGCTGGTGAAATGTTCACTGACCAGGGAGAAACAACCACGTGGAAAATTAAATAAACCCATGACATTCATATCTAGCAGCTCTGGTTTTGTAGGGTTTCCCCTGAGAAGTGGGACTATTTGCATGAGTCACTCTTTTTTCTTTTTAGAGTCTTCTCTATTTGTGAATAAATGTTTCCAATTAAAACATTGCTACTAAGCCTCAGTTTTCTCACCTCTACCATGGAGTTAAAATGTCTACTTCACACTGTCCATAGAAGAATTAAGATAAGCCAGGACCAGTGGCTCACGTCTGTAATCCCAGAACTTTGGGAGACAGAGGCAGGATCACTTCAACCCAGGAGTGTGAGACTAGTCTGGGCAACATAGTGAGACCCTGTCTCTTAAAAAAAAAAAAAAAGAAAGAAAGAAAGAAAAGAATCAAACTAAAACAAAAAACACAGAACAAGTGCGTCATCATAGTGCTGATAATTTTTAAGAAACTTTTTTTTTTCCTGTGTGAAACTAACTGATCGAATAAGGGAGTTTAAAGGAGTAGTGTATGGGCCGGGCGCGGTGGCTCACACCTGTCATCCCAGCACTTTGGGAGGCCAAGGTGGGCGGATTATGAGGTCAGGAGTTCGAGACCAGCCTGATTAACATGGTGAAACCCTGTCTCTACTAAAAATACAAAAAATTAGCCAGGCGTGGTGGTACATGCCTGTAATCCCCGCTACTTGGGAGGCTGAGGCAGGAGAATTGCTTGAACCCAGAGGCGGAGGTTGCAGTGAGCTGAGGTCATGCCATTGCACTCCAGCCTGGGCAACAAGAGCAAAATTCCATCTCAAAAAAAAAAAAAGTAGTGTGAACATTTCTATGTTGGTACATTTTTTATGTGCCTAAACGGACAAAGTCACCCAGGACCTGGCTGCTGGACTCATCCTTAGGAAGAATAGAGAAAAATAAAGTTTATCTTTAGCATCTTGCTCTTGGTGTTGTTTTTTCCTCACCACAGTCACGTCCTGGAATCCAGTGTCTCTGAACGTCTAGCGGCCTCTCACCCAGCATAACCCCTGATGAGGTCCAAGGTACGATGGTAGGAGTGGTTGCAGACGAGATAGACCTGTAGTTTGAGTGTCTAGGGTTTGAGTCCTCAAGAAGAACTTCTTGGCCGGGCGCAGTGGCTCACACCTGTAATCCCAGCCCTTGGGAGGCCAAAGTGGGTGAACCACCTGAGGTCAGGAGTTCCAGACCAGCCTGGCCAACGTGGTGAACCCCATCTCTACTAAAAATATAAAAAGTTAGCTGGGTGTGGTGGCAGGCACCTGTAATCCCAGCTACTCAGGAGGCCAAGGCAGGAGAATTGCTTGAGCTCGGGTGGCAGAGGTTACAGTAAGTCAATGTCACACCAGTACACTCCAGCCTGAGTCAAGAGAGTGAAACTCATTAAAAAAAAAAAAAGCGGGGTGAAGAAGAACTTCTTGACTTGACACAGCAGGGCTTTTTCCATGGGTCTAGAGCTAGGTGTGAAGAGAGCGAGTTCTTGGTGAGAGGCGAAGGTTGCAGTGAGCCAAGATTTTGCCAGTGTACCTCAGCCTGAGCTACAGAATGATACTTTGTCTCAAAACCACAACAACAACAAAATAAACTAAAAAGCCAGGAGACTGAAGTCTTTTTAGAAGGAACTTGTTGGTGGAGAGGAGTCCACGCCCAGTGGCAGAAGTGGAGAGGTGGGTATGGGACACTCAGGGAAGCTGCTCTTTTTTGTCAGTGGCTCCTGTTGGAGGATGTGCTGTGGGAATGCAAGGAGGAGATGGAAAGAAGGTGTCAAAATAGCTTTAAAAAAGGAAAACAAAATGAAAAGAGTGAAACCACCCTTGCAAAAATTGTAACAGTGAGAAAATTATGACAGTGAAAAATATCTAATCTAACCATCTCGTTCTTGCCTTTAACCTCCATGTTGCACTTGGTCATTCCTGAGAATAGGCCAAGCTACTTTGGGAGAAAGTTCATTTACTGTTTAAATGATAATAGCCCTTCCGAAAACTGAACTGTCTTTGTAAAAAATAATGAAAGGCCACCAGGTTAGGGAGGATGAGAGGGGTCTGAATTCTGCTAAGATGCAGGCGTAATTAAACGATGACCAGCCATTGTTCCAGAAGTCATAAGACTTGTAACTTCCCCAATTATTCCTATAAATGACATCACTGCTGTAGTTGACCTTTTGGCCTTTTGAGATGTCTTTTCAGTTTTGTTTTGTTTACTTTGAGAGAGGTTTTGCTCTATCACCCAGGCTGGAGTGCAGTGGTCATAGCTCACTGCAGCCTCTATCTCCCAGGCTCAAGTGATTCTTCCACGTCAGCCTTGCAAGTAGCTGGGACTGCAGGTGCATGCCACCATGACTGGTCAATTTTGTTGGCTTTTAATTTTTGGTTTTGTGGGGGCGGTTGTATTTTTAGTAGACATGAGATCTAGCTCTGTTGTTCAGGCTGCTCTCAAACTCCTGGACTCAAGCAATCCTCCTGTCTCAGCCTCCCAAACTGCTAGAGTTACAGGTGAGAGCCTCTGCACCCAGCTCAGGCATTTGCTTTCCAGAAAACCAGATGACTCCACCCAGATCCAAGACTCAGGATTCACTTGTCCTGTGGCCCTACCCAGAAGTGGACTCAGTGCACAAGGACCATTTTCCACATCCCTATGATAGCAACACCAATCAATCATCACCACCCATTCCCTAGCCACCTGCCCACCAATCTATCATTTTTCTTCTTTTTTTCTTTTTTTATTCTTTGAGACAGTATTTTGCTCTGTCGCCCAGGCTATAGTGCAGTGGTGCAATCATGGCTCACTGCAGCCTCTACCTCCCTGGCTCATGTGATCCTCTCACCTCAGCCTCCCAAGTCACTGGGACTACAGGTGTACACAATTACACCTGGCGAACTTTAAAAATTTTTGTAGAGATGCTGTCTTGCTATGTTCAGGCTGATCTCAAACTCAAGAACTCAAGCAATCTTCCCACCTCAGCCTCAAAAAGTGCTGGTATTACAGGTTTAAGTCACCATGCCCAGCCCAAACTATCTTGAAAAAGCCCTGGCCTTCAAATTTGGGGGGAGGCCAATTTAAGTAATAATGAGACTTCAGTCTCCTGGCTTTTTAGTTTATTTTGTTGTTGTTGTGGTTTTGAGACAAAGTATCACTCTGTAGCTCAGGCTGAGGTACACTGGCACAATCTTGGCTCATGTTCAAGTGATTCTCCTGCCTCAGCCTCCCAAGTACTGGGATAACAGGCACGCAGCATCATGCCTGGCTAAATTTTTTTTTTGAGAAGGAATCTCACTCTGTTGCCAGGCAGGAGTGCAGTGGCGTGATCTTGACTCACTGTGACCTCCTCCTGGGTTCAAGTGATTCTCATGCCTCCACCTCCCAAGTAGCTGGGATTACAGGCATGCGCCACCACACCCTGCTAATTTTTGTATTTTTAGTAGAGATGGGGTTTCACCCAGATCCAAGACTCAGGATTCACTTGTCCTGTGGCCCCACCCGGAAGTGGACTCAGTGCACAAGGACCATTTTCCACATCCCTATGATAGCAACACCAATCAATCAGCACCACCCATTCCCTAGCCACCTGCCCACCAATCTGTTGGCCAGGATGGTCTCGATCGCCTGACCTCGTGATCCACCCACCTTGGCCTCCCAAAGGGAGGGATTACAGGCGTGAGCCACCGTGACTGGCCAATTTTTGTATTTTTTATAGAGACGGGGTTTCTCCACCTTGGCCAGGGTGGTCTCGAACTCCTGACCTCAGGTGATCCACCTACCTCAGCCTCCCAAGTTCTGGGATTACAGGCGTGAGCCACTATGCCCCGCCCCAGTCTTTTGTTTAACTGGCTGTATGTGTGTAAAGCTCTTTCTCTACTGCAATTGCCCTGTCTTCATAAATTGGCGCTATCTGAGCAGCAGGCAAAATGGACCCATTGGGCCATTACAACAGTATCAACATATACAGCAGAGTTGTAATATTCATCATATAGCAACTATAAATTACTTTTTAAAAATATATGATGTTGTTAAAAGCATATAAGTGATATGAATAAGTAATTTACAGAATAATAAATTCAACTGGACAATAAATATGAAATTATTTTCAACCCCTCCAATTATATAGTAAAAGTAAATTAAAACAATGTTTCATTTTGTTTTGTTTTGTTTTGTTTTTATACAGAGTCTTGCTCTGTCACCCAGCCTGGAGTTTAAGCAATTCTCCTGCCTCAGCCTCCTGAGTAGCTGGGATTACAGGTGCCCATCACCACACTTGGCTAATTTTTGTATTTTTAGTAGAGACTGGGTTTCACCATGTTGGCCAGGCTGACCTCAGGTGATCCACTCACCTTGGCCTCCCAAAGTGCTGGGATTACAGGCTTGAGCCACCTTGCCCAGCCTAAAACAATGTTTTAACCCCTTGCTGATAAGAGTGTAAACTGATGATGTTTGGGGGAAGTAATTTAGTACCTGTTAATATTAAACATTTTTATAACCTTTGATTCAGCATTTCCACTTAAATTAGTGTCTTAGTTAGTTTGGGCTGCTATAACAACACCACAGACTGGATGGCTTAGAGACAACAGAGGTTTATTTCTAGAGTTCATGGGGCTGGGAAATTCAGGTATCAAGGCACTGGCAGTTAAGCAGTTTGATGAAGGGCCTTTTTCTATTCCTAGTTCATAGATGTCCCATTTTCATTTTCCTTCTTTCTTTCTTTCTTTCTTTCTTTCTTTCTTTCTTTCTTTCTTTCTTTCTTTCCTTCTTTCTTTCTTTCTTCTGTCTTTCTTTCTTCTTATTCTTTTTTTTTTTTAAACAGATGAGGATCTATCTCTGTCACCCAGGCAGCTGGAGTTCAATGGTGCAAGTTTGACTCACTGAAGACTCAACCTCCTGGGCTCAAGTGATCTTCCCACCTCAGCCTCCTGAGTAGCTGGGACTACAGGTGCATACCGCCATGCCTGGCTAAATTTTTGTAATTTTGTAGAGATGGGTCTCACTATGTTACCCAGGCTGGTCTTGAATTCCTGGGCTGAAGCAGTCCTCCCACACCGGCCTCCCAGAGTGCTGGGATTACAGACGTGAGCCACTGCACTCAGCCCATCTTGCTGTATTCTCCTGTCCCACCATCTTGCCGTGGCAGGGAGAGCAATAGCCTCTCTTTATCTCT